CCTGGTGCCCGCCCTGACCACCATGTTCTTCGGGGGCTTCGCGGTGGGGCTGTGCCTTGGCGGATCCTGGGCCGACTCGCGCGGCCGCAAGGAGGCGTACCTGGCAGGCCTCGTCGCCCTCGTCGCGCCCGGCATCCTGCAGGCCACCTCGGCCGACTACGCCCAGTTCGCACTGGCGCGCGGCCTCTTCGGCTTCGCCTTCGGGTTCATGGTCATGACGCCGTTCGTGTGGAGCTCCGAGTTCCTCGGGCGTGCGACGCGCGGCACCATCGTGTGGTCGTCCAACTGCTGCTTCGCGCTCGGGCAGATCCTCCTCTCGCCGGTCGCGTGGTACTTCCAAGAGTCGTGGCGCCAGCTGGCGTGGGCAGTCTTTATCATGGGCTGCCTCCTCTTCGCGTACGTCTGGTTCTAGGGGAACGAACAATGACCTAGACATAAAAACTCGGAGCTCCGCGCGGATTTCTCGGATCGGCGCTGGAGCCCCCCGGCGGCGCCTCCGGCGCCGCCCCTGGCGCGCTGCGCGCGCCAGGGAGGAGGGTCCAGCGCCGCTACGAGAAATCCGCGCGGACCTCCGAGTTTTTATGTTTATGTCATTGTTTGTTCCCCCAAGGTTCCTCCACGAGTCGCCGAAGTGGCTCGCCTCCAAGCAGCGGTTCGCGGCGGCCCACGAGGTCCTCTGCAGAGTCGCCAGCGGCAACGGTAGGCCCGCGCCCCCGCCGCCTCCAGATGACAAGCGGATCGCCCTCGACAGGCAGTTCGATGAGGATACTCCCGGGGAGAAGGCGTCCTGCCTCCAGCTTTGCGACAAGCGGCTCCTGCCCCGCTTCCTTGTTGCCTGCGCCTCGTGGTTCACCGTCTCCTTCGGCTTCTATGGCCTGTCTCTGAACGCCGGCAACCTCCCCTTGGATATCTATTCCGCCAACGCCATCAACGGCGTCGTCCAGATCCCCGCGTACCTCGCCGCGGCCACGCTGATGGAGGCGCCGTGGTGTGGGCGCCGATTGACCTGCGTCGTGGGCTTCTTGGTCGCCGGGGCCTGCCTGCTCCTCTGCTCGGTAATCTCTGCGCCAGCCATGCTGGTAGTGCTTTGCTATGCGGGCAATTTTTTCATCTCCATCTCGTTCGGTACAGTGTTCCTCTATGCGGCCGAGCTCTTCCCGACCAACATCCGAGCGCAGGGACTCGGCATCACCTCCGTGCTCGCTCGCGTCGGCGCCATGGTGTCGCCGTTCGTTGCCGCGCTCGGCAAGACATCCCCGGGACTCCCGCTCCTGATCTTCGGGGTTCCTTGCCTCGTATGCGGTTGCCTCATGTTCCTTCTGCCAGAGACCAGAGGCACCATTCTCCCGGACACCATCGATGACGTCGAGCTCTTAAGCAAAGAGGAGACGGACGACAGCGATGAGGACAGTGACGACGAGGACAGCGACAGCGTTGGCGGCACTGTGGTGGAGATGAGGACAAGCTTGGTAAGCAGCCGCAGGAGCTAACGGGTCGAGATGCCCCAGTGATGCTGCGGGGGGTGAGTTGGAGATCTGAGAGAGCAGGGCGAGGTTAGGGGAACGAAAAGTGACATAAACATAACAACTCGGAGGTCCGCGCGGATTTCTCGGATCGGCGCTGGGGCCCCCCGGCGGCGCCTCCGGCGCCGCCCCTGGCGCGCTCCGCGCGCCAGGGAGGGGGGTCCAGCGCTGATCCGAGAAACCCGCGCGGACCTCCGAGTTGTTATGTTTATGCCATTGGTTGTTCCCCTATTATATGGTTTGTTTCTTCCTCTTCTTCGAGAGGGGAATGGCTGCACGGCTTGCTCTTTGGAGACGCACACTGCGAGTCGTCACCGCCCTCTGCCTCTCGACGTCGGCGGCGTCGTGAGCGGTCGAGCGAACGTGCGGCCGCGCTACAGTGGACGTCGCGTCCGCGCGGGAGGAGGCGGAGAAGGAGGAGGAGGGGGAGGAGGAGGAGGAGGAGGAGGAGGAGGAGGAGGAGGAGGAGGAGGAGGAGAGGGGGAGTAGGGAGGAGGAAGAGGAGGAGGAGGAGGAGGAGGAGGAGGAGGGGAGGAGGGAGAGGAGGAGAGGAGGAGGGACGAGGAGGAGGGGGAGGAGCAGGAGGAGGAGGGAGGCGAGGAGGAGGAGGAGGTCCGCTCGCCCGCGAGGGCCCCGGCGGGGCAGCCGCGGGCGAGCTGCCGCCCAAGGCTGCCCCGCCCCCCCCCCGCTGCGCCCGCGGATCCCCGGGGCAGCGGCCTCGCTCGCGCCGCCCGCGCGAGGCGCGGGCCGCTTCCCGCGCCAGGACGCGGCGCCGACGCTCTCCACTGACTGCCCCGAACGTGAAGTCGGGCCCGTCCCTCTACAGGGGGAACGTTCAAGAATCATAAAAAAGTAGTCAGGGGACTATTTGTTGCGTATGTTCTGACCATTTGGGTGTATTGTTTGAGTTTTCTTGTTGTTTTTCGTCGAAAGTCCCCTTGTAATTAGGGGGACACGCCCGACTTAACCCTACCGGCACCCATCCCCCAGACGACGCTTTTGCGGACATCGCCCAGACTTACGATGCTCCAGCCTGCTTTAGCCCTGATCGCCAGAGAGAGCTTCGAGCACCAAGGAAGCGCCGAACCGTGAGGGTCTGCACGTGTCGGGCCCTGGGAGGAGGCGATACTCGTTCGATACGGTTTCGATTCTCTTCTGGGTGCTCGACGCTATTTCTGGGATGTGGCCCTGGAGTGCGACGGGAGCAGCACAAGCCCAGACGCACGTTCTCGCGTCGAAGCCAACGTCGCGCAGTCCTTCATGCCGCTCGGCTGCACGCAAGGCTGGCACCCGGCGCGACTTCCTCAAGCAGCTCCACACCCGGCGAGCCGACCCCGCGCGCGGCTCCGACGCGCTGCCCACGACCTCCCTGCAGCGCGCACGCGGCTACACACCGCGCGCGGTCGCTGCAGCGCCCGCCCAGGCGCGACGCCCGCGACCAGCTGGCCCCGCGGGGCAGAGCCCCGACGCCGCCGCGCCGAGCCCCGACGTGCTATCACGACTCCACGGCGTCAGACAGACAGCGGGCAGGCCAGATCTCTGCACCGATCTCATGCGTGCGGCCGCCCCGCACTGCGCCCTGGCTCCGCACCTGGACCCGCGCCTCGACCGTCGTGAGCTCGCCACGGCCGTCGCGGCAGGCTGACTGGCGGGAGCCCTCGCCGGATCGGCGACGCGGCGCCTGGTACGCGCGCAGCCGCAAGGTATGCTCCCGTCGGCCTACGCGGGGAGCTTCTCAGCCAACCTCCGCCTCCGCCTCACTTGCGCCGCCAGCCCTATGATGTTCCAACCTACTTTGGCCTTGAGCACCAGACATAATTCCGAGCACCCAGAAAATGACCGAAACTCGAGGGTTTTCACGTGTCCGGCGCTGGGAGACACTCGTCCGACACTGCTTCGACACTGTCTCGACACTCTCTCGACACTTTTCTGGATGCTCGGAATGATTTCTGGAGTGTGGTCCGCAAGTGCCATGGGAGCCACATAGCGCCAGCCGCCGCGGCCGAGGGAAACCCCGCCGCGCCCGTGCGGCGCGCGGTCTGGGCCGACGAAGCCGCCACGGCCGAGGCCCTGCCCCCGCCCCCGCCCCCGCCGCTTCTCCCGGCTGCCCTCGGTGCGGCCCCCCCCCTCGCGGGAGGGGGCCCCCCGGCCCATCCGGGGCGGAGCCCGTCTGCGGGCGCCTCCCCGGACGAGGTCCGCGCCCTCTGTTGCCAGATCGCTTGCGCGCCTTGGGTTCACACTGGTCCTCCTCCTCCTCCTCCTCCTCCTCCTCCTCCTCCTCCTCCTCCTCCTCCTCCTCATCACCGGCGGAGGCTGTCAGGCCCCAAAGCCCCGCCAAGTCGGCCAGCGAACCGCCCCCGCTGCCCCCGCTGCCCCGCCCCCTCGGCGCCAGCGCCCCATGCGCTCCTCAGGGGGCGGGCGCGAGCGGGGAGCAGCGGGGACCCCACTCCCACCGGACCAGCTGCGCGCCAACTCCACCGCTGCAGCGGCGAGCTGGAGGGAGGCCTTTTTCGCCGCGGGATGAGGCCCTTGTCCGACGAGGAGGCCTGGCTCAACAGAGTGAGTCGGGCCCCAGGGCTTTGGGCGAGAATCGGGGAGCGGGGGCGCCCATCCCGACCGCGTCTCTCTCTCGCCCACGGGGTGCGGCCTCAGGCCCCCCCCTGGCCGGGGCGGACGCCATCGCTGCCCAAGGCGCCTGCCTTGCGGGGCCCTGCCTCGCACGCGCGGGGGCGGCCGCGCCGCCCCGGCCCTGCCGCCACCTCTGGGTCCGCACCGATGGCCCCTACAGCCAATCCGCGCAGCACGGACGGGCAACCCTCCCAGAGGGCCACCCTTGCATCCTTGCCCGAGGAGGAGGAGACGGAGGAGGAGGAGGAGGAGGAGGAGGAGGAGGAGGAGGAGGAGGAGGAGGAGGAGGAGGAGCTCAGCAAGCAGATCGCAGGTGTCAAAATCACGATCGAAAAGAAGGCCGCCAGAGCAGCAGAGGTGCAGAAGAGGATGACAGAGCTGCAAGAGGAGGCCGACACACTCTTGTACGATGCAGAATCTCTCAAACAGACGTTGGAGCAGCTCAGCCAGGAAAAGGAGACGGAGAAGGACGCGGGCATGGGCGAGGCTCCAAACCCACTTATAGGCGCCAGGCCGCCAATGGTCGGGTCAGCTTCTACGCCTTGTTGTTCAGCATCTGCTTCAGCAGCGCCCGTGCAGCCAGTCCTCAGCACGGTCCAGAGCATCCAGCAGCACCAGCGGGCCCAGGACGACATGATCAAACAAATGTTGGACTATATGGCATACAACAGCTCAATGTTGGCAGCTTTGCAGAAGCAGTACCAACACCCGCCGCAGTCTGTGGGGTTTACTATGAGCA